GGTCTCAAGGTCCTGAAGACATGCAGCTCCTTACCCTTGTTTCTGAGCATCTTTGGAGAGCTTAATTTCACTTTCTCGGCCAAGGAATGGCAGCGCTGCTGCTTATCCCAACACACACTCGTAGACCTCACATTTTATTTTACAATCTGATATTTATGCCCATTTTGTGTCTCTGTACGGAAGTTGCCATGAGTAAGTTCAGTTTTCATAGCTGCAAATTTACTGGTATAGTCTAATACTTTTTCATGGTTCCCAAATTCCTTTTTGATGTGCAAGTCTTTTCATGCCTTAAGGAAGCACAGAAGAAAGCATGGAAGTACTGGAAACATTAATAAATAGGTGCTGGAGGCTGATATTATAGGCCAACTGGTTGTAGGAGGAGGTGGTGTCTTAGTCATGAATCAGAAATGCCAGGAGAGAGGGGAGGCATGTCAGGAAAGACTGGGAGGATGCAAAGCTTGAAGTGACACAAGGGCAATCACACACAAAAAATTATCTTTCCAGAAGCACTTTGAATGAACCTGAAAGGTGCAAGACTGCCTTTGTAAGAACCGGAGACAAGGAAGCAAGGCAATGCCTAGGTGGAACGGTTTGGTTGAGGTGATGGATGGGAAAGTTCGTATCTTTGATATGTTACACAGAAAAAAACTCAAGAAGGTGTGATTCAGAACTTGGCTGTGAGGATGTAGGGAGAATTCAGAGCAGAAGACCATGCATGGGTTATGAGGCTCAACTATGAGAAGATAGCGTACTCCAACTTGATCAAGAAAGAAGTAGGAGAAAGATTAGGGCAGTATTAATCACCCTGCTACAGCCACATTGAGGATGAGCAAGGGCTAGTCTTCCTCATAAAGATCTAAGAGTAAAGGTTGTTTGAAACAAAATGGGATCTGAACTGGAGATGTTGATTTGTGAGTCGTCAATACAGAAATAATAGTAAAATGTATACATACATTTAGCAACACAGGGAGAGCAGGGAAATGGGCCAAAGACCAAAGTCTTGTAGCAAAGCTTGGCTGTGGGTGAAGAGTCTCTTCCCAAGAAGCAAAGATTGGAGGGATAGGATGAGAAACATGAAGACAGAGTCACAGGAGCCATCACAGACTAGATTTCACAAAGAATGTACTCACAGGACCGACCCCAGTCACCATTGGGTTCAAGAGATTGTGAACACCGTTTTGAGCTGTATCAGACTTTCCATGAAACCTGGGGGCCTTCATTCAGATGAAAGACTGGAAAGCGTTTGGCAGAAAACTGAAGAAGCAGCTTTGCAAATAATGATTGCAGACTGTGTGCCCAGGCTGTGAAGCTAGAAGGGATCACTGTGGTCATTTCAAGAAGAAAGAAATAATACTTCGAGATGGATCTGTACTTCCACAGGACTTACTTTGTCTACTTTTGAAAAATGTGAACTAGCCTAATAACTTTCCAGAAATGTTGGCTTGTGGAAATACAGGGACTTTAGTGCTGATGATCAAGCACTTTTGCACCTCAAGCTCCCAGTTACATTAGAAATTGATCAAAGACAAGGGCAACAAGTACAGGAAATTCCTGGTTCTTGTGAAAACCTTTAAATTTCAGTGAAAGACACTTCTGAGAATGTTCTGGGCATCTCTGAGAAAACACTAATAGATGCAGAATCTATATAGTGTAGCACAGGCTCACAAAAACAACTAATTCAATATAGTTCTATATTTAATGTTGTTCAGCTACAGAGCTACACCACTGCAGCGTGGAAAATCACTGGCAGACTTACAGGGATATGCATATTACCCAGTATGACACAACCAAAGGATGAAAAATTACTTTTAGACTCTGGTAAAGAGTAAGGAAGTCAAAACAAGCACAAAATTGTAGAAATACAAAACTTCAACATGGTTTGGACACAGATGCTTTAGAATTTGGAAAGGTCATCATAAACTACAAAACCTACAGAAATGTTACTTCCTTACAATGAGCTAAACACAAAGAAACATTTTATAAAGAAATTGGAAGCTTCTGCTCAGTCTTTTAAAGCAAAAGAAAAACCAGCAGTTGGCAAAGAAGAGTGAAGCAAAGGGCAAAAAGACTGAAGAACAAAAGTCTTCATGGATTGATCTTTTTTTTTTTTCAGACTGTCTGAAAGCAATTTAACAAGTGAAGACTTGAACACATTTGAATATACTTTACCAGATTAAAACTAGAAGACAGCTGAAATGGCCAACAGACCAGTTGAAGCCTGTTGATCCTGTAGTAACAACATAAAATGTTAGGTTTAGTTGCTGTACTGGTTGCAGTGCATTGTAGGATCACTGATAATGCAGCTCTTTTCGTATACGGCCTCTCTTTGGTATCTCTGTCCCCCACTGGCTCTTTGGTTTTTATCACCTCATGGCAGAGTTTCTCACTTTATTCTGTTTTTTTCCTAGTGCAAAACTAGTGAGCAGGGTCCAGCTGCCTGCTGCATGGCATTGTCGGGGGTCCTCTTTGTAAAAAAACAGAGAAGAGGAAGCAAAAAATGTAAGTTGATGGAAGAGTTTAGCTGGGTGGACAGATGGGAAAGGCCGGTATCCCTGATACATTATGTAAAAAGATCCAGTAAGGTGTGATTCATACCTTGGATGTGAGGACATAGGGAGTGATCAGAGTGGAAGAGTTAGTCTCGTGTAGAAGATAGTCTGCTTTGCCTCGATGAGTTAACTTCGGATAACCTGACTGACCCTAAGTGTTCATTAATCTGGATTTTTTTGACCCACCCACACCTGTGCCACTACATTGACCATCAGAGTTTTTTTATTAGCTCAGCTGCTTTTCTTCCTGGAATCCTCCCAAATTAAACTCTCTTGAGGGTTTAATTTCCATAGTACACCACACTCAGACCAGAAGCTGAGCACTAACCTTCTTTAATTCAGCAGGTCCAGCTGGACTTGGGATGTTTGCTTCACAGGCCAGCATAATTCCCCAAAGATTCAAAACATTTAAAGCAAAGTATTAAGACTGATAACAGACCTAAATGCCTGGTTTTACTGTTATCAAACCTGCTCTGTTCAGATACCAGTAGCTGCTGTGACTGGGCTCAAGGGCACCCCACTCATGGGCATTGGCAGCAGTTGTGGCACTGGAAACCACTCTTGGCTCTGTGCCTGCAGGACACGTGCCTCAACGCTTTCTCTCCCATTTTCTTTGTGTATTTACACCTGTAAACTGGATTCCTCACCCTTCTGGAGCTGGGCTGGGGGGTTCCCTGCCGCTTCCCTTCAGTTCTCATCTTGTCAGTCCTACCGCGGTCTGGGGACCCTGCCTTCCACCTCGGAAGTCCTCTCCAGCCCAGCTAACTTACTCCAGCAGGCTGAAACGACCTGTCCTCTCCCCTGCCTCTAGGTTTCCTTGGCTGGCATTCAGCCTCGTCTGCCAGGTTCGCTAAACACACACACGCACACACTCTGCTCTCCATAATCTGGGATTACTCCAGGCTCTTGTTAAATCTTTAAAAAGTGAAAAACATCCTACTTTGAAAAGAGCCGGAGGTGCAACTCGTCTCCCAGACTTACGGACCTGTTTTTTTGTTCTTTTAACTCCTCTGGCTCTGGTTCCTGCAGCTACCTTGCCCAGGCCTGCGAAATCCTTCGCGCACCGGGGAACTTTGCCTCGCGCCCGCGTGCAGGCAGCCAACCACGCACGAGCCGGGTTAAAACGGCCACGTTTAATATTTGTAAAAAGGTAATTCAGATACGTTTTCTGCCCGTCGCTTCATCTATCCCCCCCTTCCCGCAGCACTCCCGCCTTAATTAAAGCGATGCGGGGTGCGGGAGGGCTGGAACAGCCGAAGCCACAAGACCCGGCGGTGTTTCTGGCGGATCCTCAGCCCTCAGCTGTCGCAGGACGGCTGCCCCCGGCAGTGCGCTCTGCTGCCCAGGCCGAACCCCGACGATAAACCAAAAACCACCCCACCGGGGGACGCACAGCACAGGCGATGCCCCCGTGGGGTACCGGTACTCGTGTGCTCACACCATCTCTCGGTGCAGCTCCCCAGGGACGCGCCTGTCGCGACAGAGACAGCGATTACTCCACCGAGGGGGCAGGCCCTATCTTAGGAGGTCCCCAAGACGAGTACGCCGCCCCGCGTTGGGCCCCTTTTTCCAAAAAAAAAACCAACAAAACCAAACACAAAACCACTTCGATTTTTGCTGCCCGACCCGGCGCCGCCG